GGCAATAATACCTCTAAGACGCAAGAGGTTACTGAGTGAGGGAAAATATAAGAAAAAACATTAAGGAGAAAGAACAATAAAACTGGAATTAAGATGACAAGATAACGACTGACATTGCACTTAAATTTTATTTAAACTTTATTGGAAATCAAGAAGCCGAAAGAGAGTTACACAAGCGAGAACTGTGAGAGAAGAAACTGTTAGCATAGAACTTATGGTAATTTCTATCCATTTCAATAGTAAAATGATGAGACCTTGCAGCCAATCTAGTACTGCACTTAAATTCCTAAAATCTAGTTACCGTAGAGGAAACAATTACTATGAAAGGCAAACTATGTATAATATGTTAATCATGTGAAGGGGAAAAATAACGAAAACAAAAAACAAAAACAAAAAAAAAAACAAATAGCTAACAGAGTGCAATAAAGAAAGCTAAAAGCACATGAAAGTATCATATGGGGACTCAAGAGACAATTCTCTTACCATTGCAAGATTTTCTCGGATGTAAAAACCAGGCCCTTGCATATGTATTCTAGAATCTTTTCAACAAACTGAAATATAGCCTGGAACATAGAATTCATTGCTAGCAATAGAAGAATTTAAATTAGTTTCGTAAAATGCTAAGATATCCGAAGAACTTTTCAAGAGAAAATATTCTACACTACAGAAATTGGTACGAATATTGGAGAAATTTGATGGGTGGAGTAGGTGATTTTTTTTTTTTTTACTCGGATTTCTTTTCATTGTATCTGCCATAAGATTATGTTTTACGGAGAAAAAGGTAAAAAAATGTTTATGACAATACAAACTAGCCAGAAGGTAGTAGCCTGGAACATAGAATTCATTGGTAGCGATAGAAGAATTTAAATTAGTTTCGTAAAATGCTAAGATATCCGGAGTACAGTATTGTAATATAAAACATAATGGTGCTTCAGGGTTACCCACAGGAAATACATTTAGAGACACTTATCCATGCGCGATATGGCACTGCAAATACCCCGATATTATGCGACTGTTGGTTAGAGTCATCTCTCTAAGCGCTACCATAGAGTTCGGTCTCCTTACTAATAGTAGGGAAGCAGTAACCAGAAAACTGCCAACCCGGTATACTCATAATGATAATTCGCAGTCACATGATTAGTCAGATCACCAAAACGTTAAGACAGTTAAATCATTAAGGCCATGGGAGAAAGGAGCCAGTAAACCATATCATAAACAGGAAATAAAGGATAAACCTCTATTCTTATTCAATAAATATGGAAGGATTACTGTTCAAGCGATAGGCGAATCTATCTGCTCCTGTTAACCTGTGAACAACACAGAAGGTTGGGAGCTTTTATCGAGAGAACATCTTTAGGGAGGTTGTCGAATAAGGCTCCACCCAAGTCAAGTGGGGAATTGCTAAATTATAAAAAAAAACTCTCTAAAAGTCATCCCAAGAGTTGAAATCTTGGTACAGTGGTGTGCAAAAGTAGGTATACAGTCTTGAAAAAAAAAATTACTCACAAAACATATTGATTATAAGGAACTATTGTAATAGTTATATTATTTATTGTAAACCTACAATGGCAGCCCCTGTATTGCAATATGTTTTCTTTAAAAATTATTTTCCGAAACTCGTTGTTAGAACCTTATGGACAAAGAGGAAATTAAGCGTCAGGTTTATTTTCTCATTTCAAAAAAATCGAAAAGAAATGGTTCCTTCTTGAAAGGAAATTATTTTATAATGGAAACATTACTTTGGAGTAGGTTGAAAAACGACTTCCGTTTCGTCCAAAACTTTACATTACTGACGTCATCAGTCCGCCATTTGGCCATTAATTTGTGCTTCTATATTCGGACCGGTTGCTGCAAATAATGACCTTTAACAGTGACATTCAATTTGATTGTTTTGCTCTTTATCTTTTACTTTTTCCACTATCTCATATTTCGATTTTCACTTTGATCCGACCAAAATTTTACCAAACGTATTTATTCATATTTGCTATTCATTGATAGTGATACAAGTCTTGTAAACACAACCTCCAGTATTCCAGATCCAGTCAAATATTTTATGGAAATTTGTCGCTAAATCAGGCTTTTAATGAATAACAGATACTGTTTTGCGTAATGATCTGACACTTCGAAATTTTACAGCTAATTTTCTGCACTGAAGTCTTTACGATCGTAGATGATTCATTATAATATTCTAATGGTCTCATATTAACGACTTTTCTGTTTCAATAATATCTAAGCATAGAATATTCTAAGTCTTCCAGATATGAACTATGAAAATAAGTTGTAAGTTGTTAGATATTTAGTTGCATTAAATACCATATAAAATAATTATGATTATTGGGCGTGTGGCTAAGTGGTTAGAACGTTGGTGTTCGAACCATGAAACCAGGATTTCAGTCTAATCATGGTCGATTTGTCAAAGTGTTGACTTCTTTATAATATCGGCTTGGGGAGGCGATCCCAGCATTCGACACTGTTGGGAACTGTCTAAAAACTGTACCATGAGTCGAACCAAATCCTCTAAGTGAAATTGAGTCGAAGGAACTGTTTGGAAGCCGTCGATGGTTCGTGTAACACGAAGACACAAGTCATTTTGACAGTTTTTGAACCTTGTGCAAACTGAGGATCACGCTAGTTTATGTGCTGTCTGCCTGAAACTAAGGTCGGCTCATCACACTTGTAGTATAAACAACAGGTTGGTCCTGGGAGTGTTAAAGAAACGCTAATGTGCCTGAGCGAGAGTCTCCAACAGGGATTATCTAGTCATCCTAACAGATAATCATATTCGGAAACCAGCAGTCAGCTATACTAATAATAATTATGTATGGTGCAAAGATTTGGGCTAACATAATATAAGTTTCGGCCAATTTATGTACATACAACCACATTGCATAAGATAATCAAATATAATAGATGCAAACTATTTGTTGTTTTCAACTATATATATATATATATATATATATATATATATATATATATGAAAATTTCTCAGGGTTAACCTGTAGAAAAGACAATATTTATAAACATAAATAACAATAAGAAAACTGTAATTATCGCTGACGCGTTTCGTCCACATCGAAAGTCCACATTGACGAAACGCGTCAGCAATAACTACAGTTTTCTATTGACATTTATATATATATATATATATATATATATATATATATATATATATATATATATATATATATGTATATATATATATATATATATATATATATATATATATATATATATATATATATATATATGTATATATATATATATATATATATATATATATATATATATATATATATATATATATATATATATATGTATATATATATGTATATATATATATATATATATATATATATATATATATATATATATATATATATATATATATATATATATATATATATATATATATATATATATATATATATATATATATATATATATATATGTATATATATATATGTATATATATATGTACATATATATATGTATATATGTATAAATATATATATATGTCTATATATATATATATATATATATATGAGTGCAGTTAGTGTAATAATTAGCGGTTCGGAATGTGAAATTGATGGGCTGAGTTGGGTGCATTCATTTTCGCACAGATACTCCTGGAAAATGTATTAATCACTGTCTTCCTTCATTTCATCTATTGGTGAAATAGTAGAGTAGACTGAGCTCTCTTGCAATTGTTGGTAAACAGTCTTAGAGAAGGGAGACGCTGAAGTCAAAACTAAGGATAGCTGGTTAAAAACTTCGTTGTATACTGTGTACCATTGCTAGCAGTTCTTCCGAAATGACTGGCTGGTTCCATGCGAGCATTCAAGGCTCTGATCAAATCATGTGCGTCGATGTCCCGGTGGTTATAAAATAGTGACCTGTCAGGCCTTCATAAGTCGAAATCTTTGAGAGAGTTCACTAATACATACATAAGGAAAATCTATGACAAAGTGGAAAAGGTTTCGTGTATCCATTTGTCCTTTAGGACTTCATCGGACTAAAATAATAACGTTGATGTGATTACATATGCGCAAGAAGGAGAGGGAACGCTGGAATTTTAAATTGAATTTTTTAAAAATATATGTTTGAGTATATTGTCCAGTCGATTTTATTTAGTTTCTTTTTTCTCTTTATGTTCCCATCATTTTTTATTACATGCATTGTGATAATAGAAAATATGTGAAGAAAGTCGAAATGTAAGAACATGAACGCAATTTTGCAGTGTATAGTCTAGGAATTAAATCACTTTCTATACTCTTTTGTCTCATTAAAATTCTTTAACTTTTAATCAATGTAATTGTAGTCGGTTTCTTTTGGCTTATAATAAAGTTCCTTAATTCATTTCCTTCTACAAACAATAGTGTGAGTCAAACAATCCAACAACACATGTCTCCTGTTCGCTACCACAATCGCACTTCTCTCTGTTACGTCTTTAAACGCCTTTTATAGGTTGATTGACATTTCAAATTTGTATATATTAAAAGAGATTCTCGCGAACGTCTGTCCGACTCCGAAATCTATCTTCTAAATATACGACTCATAAAGTCACCATTTTCTTTTTGGAATCTTTTATATGCAAGACACGTCCGAATCCGTTTTCGTCTCGGAGTTAAACCATTTTCTCTAGTGTTACAGCAAAAGTGTTACATTGTAACATTGTTACGGTAACATTTTTTTTTAAATTATAATTATGGAGAATAACTAAAAGGTTTTAAGTGATTCATTTTCTTCGGCTTATAAATTCTTTGCAGGTTATTTAAAGCCAGAAAATATTTTTAGATTTAAAAAAAAAATGGAGGGGGGGTAGATAATAATGGTTTAGTGTTAAATATTTTACCCATAACTGGGGGAGAAGATGAATTCATACCTTTACCGAAGGGTATTTCCTCGTAAGTGAATATAACGAACTCAACACGAATTGGAACTCGGCTCTCCGATTAACAATTCCTAGACTTTATCTATTACACTACCCGCGTACATCTAAGCTTACAAGACCTGGTATTCCCAAGAGGTTACCCATCTAGTTACTGACCAATCTCAATGTTGCTTCACTTCGGTGATCATATCGGAACCAGTGTCTCAATGCGATGCGGCCTAATATGTTGTTCACTATTTTATTTATTCATTGACAATATTTTATTGAGAAAATTCTACCCATTTTTACATACGTTAAATTATATAATTTAACATATATCAATATTGTTGTTTACTCATTATTATATGACGATATTAATGGAAAATAAAATAATAAATTTCTAATATGGCTTAACCAGGAATGCTAGCGGCTTGACGTATTTGTTGTTACAGTGATGTGCATTTGTAGAATTGCTCGTTTTCTTGGCATCTACAATTAAATTAGTGTTTATTGATATTTACAAGCTAAATTGTGGCGCATTAGACTTAACCTGTTTTCTTTTGTGTTTTATGAATTAAATGGATTAATTAAAACGTAAAAATTATAGCGATTATTGCATTATTTTTATCAAAATATTAAGTAAAAGATTAAAGATAATTTAATTTTAAAGTGACTTTTTGATTTATTTAATATGAAACAAATATTTAAGTAGAATACAACGATTCACTGAAAAGTTCAAATATCAAATAAGCGTGAGCTAAGAAGATTGTATTAGTTTTAAATATAAATAAACATCCTGTAGAGAAAATAAACAAACGTGCCTAGAGAAATAACACCATTGTTTGTTTTCCATTCAATATCATGTTATCTATTAAAAAAAAACCTTTCAAAATGATTTGTAGTCATTCGAAAAAAAATCACTATTTTCGGTTGTGTTTTTATCACAACATTAAATTAAACTCTGGAAACTTAGAACAAAGAATTAACTTCGGACGAGGCTCGTCTCTCGAAGATAAGAGAGGAAAAAACACACGAATAACGAAAATAGTTTATCTCCGAACTTCATACTAGTCAGAAAGAATTGTGTGAAGAAAGAAGAAATGAAGGCAATAGAGGAAAATGCAGTTATAAAACCTCCATCAAGCTGTTAGTGCTTGTGATGGCGTAGAAGCTGCATAGATATTTCAAATTTCTACTGAAACACACCGAACATAAAGCTATTTGCTTGCTCCAAATTCTTACCAAAATGCGGAAGAAACATTGATAGAAAGGAAGATATTCCCGTGTTCCAAATTCCTACAGAAGGCCGAGGATTGCATCGGTTGAAAAGAAACTATTTCTATTAAAGACTGAAAAACACGACAGCCGAAAATAAACTATTTGTATCTTGCAAATACCTACTGAAGGTCGAAAAACAGATTGATTAACAGCTAGCCACTCTTCGTCTTTTATGTGCCGTGTCCGTTCAGGACGTTGGCGATCATGGCTCTCCACTTCCTTCTATCCCTTGTAATTCTCAATAAATTGCTACTCCTCCCAGACCCTGTTCTTCCATACTGTTCTGCTTAAGCCCGCTATGTCACGCGTTGCTTTCCCTTGTCCCTTTTCCCCTTTATCTGCCCTTTCGAACTTCTTACTGAAGGTTAAAGGACACATGCACTAAAAAGAAGACAATTTTTATATTCCGAATTGCTACTAAAGGTTCGGGAATGTATCGACCGAAAGAAAAATCCTCCCATCTCCCAAATATCCATTGAAAGTCGGAAACTGTTCGATTAACAGGAATTTACAGGTTCGACATGGCTCCGACGACATACTGACCGAAGTTCAAAGAACGTTTCATCCAAAAGTGTTATTAAAAAAAATAACCAAAAAAAAAAAACGTTTTAATGAAATTACTCCATTTCAAAACAATTATAGCCACTTTTCATCTTTGAAGGCGAATGGATTTTAGGTCGGGCGCCGTATCCCGTGTTTCGCTTCAGGAATACCTGACGTTGGCAGAAATGAAAGAACTGAACAAAGAATCAAATTTCTTCGTTTTTCTATCTCAAGCTAAAGATTCAATAAACAAAGCACAAGTTTATAGAAGAATTTACAGAAAAGGGGATAGCATGCCAAGATTGATGTAGGAATTGAAAGAGTGGAATAGATAAAGTGAAAGCTGAATAGGCATCTGTACGTGACATCAGCGAATAAAAACGCCTACATGATGTTACAAACTGGAAGAATATCCAAGAGAATGTAAAGATGTTAATAAAGACAACTACGATATGGGGTTGAAACGAAATCGCGTATTTTTCCCTTGACGTTGAAAAAAATGATAGACAAATATGCTTGCTTGTCAAAACAAACGTGTGAGCGCACATATAAGCACTTTACATTTAACAGGCAATCAATCTGTCAAAAAATACATACATACATACATATATATATATATATATATATATATATATATATATATATATATATTATAATAAAAAAAAAAGAACAGTAAGATATATAATCCGGTGTTCTTATTGATATTTTTATTTTACAAAACAGTGCTCAATGTAAATTTACAGAGCATAAATATACAGGAATTAACATGTTTCAAAAAACCGAAGCTAAAAACTTCAAATTTGATTATATAATTAAATTAAAAGAATTAGTTCTGTTTCATCTTCAAGTTAGCTTCGATTTTTTGAAACATGGTAATTTTGTAGTAAAGAAACCATATTTTAAATCAGTTACTTCATAATACATACATATATATATATATATATATATATATATATATATAAATATATAGAAATTTTAGGAGGATTTGATAATTATAATTAAGACTCGATGAATTACTTAATTATATATATATATATATATATATATATATAGATATATACATATATATATATATGGAAAAGATGATAGAAGTATCTATTGTTTATTTATATATATATATATATATATATATATATATATATATATATATATATATATATATATATATATATAAATATTCTATAAATAATAAATATCTATCTTTTCCATAAATTTCTTTTACTGCTATTGGAATTTTTTCAGAATGAATTTCCCATTTATTAATCAGACATTTTATTTTGTTGCGTAAACGTTATTTTTATTAATTACCCATATTTGAATAGATGCCCTATTCATTTATTAAACAATATATTTAAATATAACCATCTACCGGCCTAAATCATATTAAAAAACTATGCGTTCTCCGTCAAGATTGGAACCTGAGTTTCCCTAGGGGAAACCGTCATTTGATCTGATGTGCTTTTTCCTCTCGTCTGCAGAGAATCTAATGATTAAACAAAGCCTTTCTTTTGTAATATATAAATAATTCTAAACTACTCAAGTCTTTCTTGTGCTCTTCTGGTACAGCAACAAAGCAAGTGAACATATTAATAATTACAATATGAAGTTAAACAATGATCATTTGAAACATTCGATGATTCAGACGATGTTTGTATGGCTGGTCCTCCGGCAGAGCTCCTAGTTGTATACAAGATAAGATTGAATACCATCGCTTAGCGCCGTGTTCGCTGTCTTCGTGCGATGACCTGATGACCACCAGTTTGACCAGACATCTGCAAACGAATGCTGAAAGGACGTCGACAGCCTGGGCCTCCAGCAGATTAATCTGGCGCTTGAGGATGTTCCGACGCTTTACAAAGACCGTGAAAGCTGGAGGTACAAAGTGGCCCACGTAAACTCAACGCCTTCAGGGCATGAGATTTAGCAGCAGCAAAACCCATCCATGTTGATCTTAGTGCAAAATATAAACTAACTTATTCATTTAAAAATGTTATTTTACAAACTATGACGTTAATGAAAGCAAGGTCGTTCACAGGTTTACAAATTATACTTTTTCCGGACATCTCAGTTTCAGTTACTCCCCTTTAGTAACTCAACTCTCCTAGTTTTTGTTTGCCTCTGCTGTAAGATATCCAGAAAAGGCATGGCACGTGGAACTAGAAGAATCTACCCCAATGGATTAAACAAACGGCTTGGCACGAAATTCCAACGTATATCAACTGAAGAAGGCCAAAGCGTACAACGGACGAAACGCCGTGACTATAACAATAAAGATAAGGATAACAGTCCGAACAATGTAAATAGTGTAAACAATGTATGGAGTTGTGCATTCTTTGAACTAAGTTGCTACCATTTTTCTCTTCGAGAACTATGCATGCAGACATAGCATTATCTTTGGCTTATTCTTCCAGCTTTATTTGCAGGCAAAATTTTCCAAGAAATGACTAAAAAGGCCCAAAGTCGATCTACAGAGTGTCCTTAAAATCTGGACACATAGAAAATCTCATTAACTATATTTTTTGCCTCCCCAAATTAAAGAACGAAAGATAGAAAGAAAGATAGAAAGATAGATAGAAAGAAAGAAATAAACAAAGAAACAAAGATAGATAGATAGATAGATAGATAGAAAGAAAGATAGAAAAAAGATAGATAGATAGAAAGATAGATAGATAGATACAAAGAAACAAAGATAGATAGATAGAAAGAAAGATAGATAGAAAGAAAGAAACAAAGATAGATAGAAAGAAAGAAAAAAGATAGCTACAAAGAAAGATAGATAGAAAGAAAGAAACAAAGAAACAAAGATAGATAGATAGAAAGAAAGATAGAAAAAAGATAGATAGATAGAAAGAAAGAAAGATAGATAGATAGATAGATAGATAGATAGATAGATAGAAAGAAAGAAAGATAGATAGAAACAAAGATAGAAACAAAGAGAGATAGATAGATAGATAGATAGATAGATAGATAGATAGATAGATAGATAGAAAGAAAGAAAGAAAGAAAGAAAGAAAGATAGAAAGATAGATAGATAGATAGAAAGAAAGAAAGAAAGAAAGAGAAATTCTTTTTCTGGGATATGCTAAAGAAGATGTAGTCAATGGACCTCACAGATGCAACACACTTGATTGAACACATAAAGAATGAATGTGCCAAAATTGATGGCAATGTGGAGTTATTGCATCGAGTTCACGAGTGAATCTTGCAAAGCGCATCAAACTTTGCATCACAAATGAAGATGTTATTTGTTAATATTCCAATTCAATAAAAATTTGAAAATTTCATTTCTTGAATTATGCATTTTTGCCTATGTGTCCAGACTTTAGGGTCATCCTGTATTAACGCTCTTGTAAACAAACATAGTAACCTCATGAATCCTAGAGTTGCCAACTGATTATTTAAATTAGAATCATAAATGAATGGTACGCGTCTCATTGTAAAAGTTTGAAATCATCAATTGAGGCTAACCGCTGATCTCCAAATAAAATTTTAAAATCTCGGATAAAGAAAATGTAGTTATTTGGCGACTTTTGAATTGTCTCATTAACCTATCCCTTACAAGTTCAAATTTAATCGGAGACGCATTTACTTTATGCTGCTTATTTAATGGCCGCAGAATGCATACACAAATGATTTCGGTGTTGCGACAAAAAAAAGAAAAAAAAAAAGAAAGAAAACAAAGAAAAAAAGAAAAAAAAGAAAAAAAAAGAAAATAAGGTCAAAGAAAAACGTGAAAACTTCAATAAATCTATGTTGGGCTTATAATATTTTTTCTATACAACACAGCGACTTTACTAGCCACGGATCCGTTAAAATGAAATGGGCGATCATCATATCAAAACACTAATCGCATATTTTTCTTTTTTGTTTCAGATTACATGCGAACAGAGACCGCTTTCAGTGTTATTTCAATATTTCTGATGTTCTTAGTACACATTTTTGCCTTCTATGCATTCAAGAGGCCAAGGTATGTCATCAAGCGACTCACCGCACTTTTGCATATGATGACTGGTAAGTTATAATAATGTCGATCTTTTCTTTTTTACTTACTATTATTTACTTAGTGTACATTAATGTCAGAATGAAATGTTATATTTAATTTTTTGCATAATCCTATGTATCTCCTAACGTTTCGAGGGATTGCCTTCTCCAATTTTCCATACAGAACTTTTGTCTCGTTACAAAATGAAAAAGAGGGAGATAAAAGAGATCAGTATATTTTTTAATCGGCATCACCCCGTGCAAGACAGTAAAGTCACTAAGGCACAAGTGGTTACAGAATGTGGGAGAATTAGGGGCAGAAACGTTAATAATGAACGGAAAGAGTAATCAGGAGGACAGTAGATAGCGATTGACATTGCATTTGAACATTTCCACAAGAGAGGTGCGAGAAAGAAACTGTTAGCATAGAACTTACGGATAGATCTAGCCAGCTCAACTGTAAATTGATTAGATTTCAACGACAGTCTAGTACTGCGTTTAAATTGAAAAAAATCTAGGTACCATAGCGAAGAGCTCATCCGAACAATTACTATGAAAGTATTTATAGAAAAGACACAGAGAGGCAACCATACAGCGGTGGGCAAGTGACTGAAGCCGAGTCGCTAGATCAGGACCAATAATATTGCTGATTCTTCTTTGGATTTTATCAAGGAGTTCAAGGTAAATAGTAGGGGTACCAGACCTTATGTGGCAGAGATATTGTAAGCGCGTAACAGACTATGTGCAGAGAAGAATCGATAAAAGAACCCTATACGCATGGAATGTTTATAGATAAAACAAAAAGTTGTCTTCCCGCCAGAATAACGTGAAGCTAATTAATACATACGGGATACAGATAAAAGAACCCTATCTCTATATGTGAACGTCAGGTTGGCTCAGAGTGGCAGAAATGACGAGAGACAGCATAGGAAGACAGATATAGATACCTGCACAGGCCTGAAAACTGATATTGCTGGATTTATGTACACACATAAATGCGAAAAGATTAATCAATCGTTTTCTGGTCTTCCTAATGTTGTCCGAAGTTGTAAGATGAAGTATTTTCCACACTAGTATTTTCATTTTTGTTGTTTCGATCGCTGTTTTAGTTCTCGGCTTTTCTCAGGAAGTATACCTGTTATGGTCCGGTTCCTTGTACCACGGTGATAGTCCAAGGTAGAACCAATAAAGAAGAACTCGAACACGGATATGGAATAACACAGATATATTACAAACAGGAATATATATACAGAGAGGTAGAAAAGTGTTAGTACGAACAATCAGGTTTAGTAGTAATTGTCTGAACGCGACTCTGTTACGGACTGCCTCTGACTCGACTGACTGACTCTCTCTGACAGACTGACAGACTCCTGACGGACTTCACTCCAGACTGAACTCCCTGCTTCCTCTTGAGGTGCAGTATTTATTACGTATGGAATAGTCCATTATGTTATTATGAGTAAGGTCCCCTAACAATACCGCATCCCGTAAATTGTAACCCTGCGACCCCAGGGACATGACCACATGTCGATATTCTATCCTATATTTTCAGCTTCAGAATTGCCTGTATAACGGAACAAATCGAAAGTGAAAAACAGCAAATGGATGGTACAAAGTTGCTCAGTCTTTTTTCATGCCATCATATACTGTGTAATTATTTTTGATTACACGCCAGACGTGTTGTATTGTTAATCTGCTTGAACGGATTAAGGCGCTTTGAACAAGATCAAAATATTATTTTCTTTTAAATTTAGCCAGGATTATGTCACTGCGCGGGGAATACATCCATTGAAATTCACTTGTAATCGATGTTCTTATCTATCTACTGAAACGCTATTTCTTTAACTATTCGGGTGTGTGGTCAAGTGGCTGGAACGTTATTGTTCCGAACCGGATAATCTCACCATGGAGAGATAATTTTTGATAATATTGAACTGGGGAAAGAATCTCAGTGCGGCACTGTCAGGAAGTGCCTGGGAATCATATGACATTTTGATCCGATCATTGTGAGAGAAATGTGGTAGACCAAACAGGCCTTGTTTAACTCTTGAACACACCAGATTATGCGGTCTCTTCCCAAAACTGTAACTAAAGTCCACTCGGCATGGTTATCTGTAGTGTTGAAGAAATACAAATGTGTCTGAGTAGATGTTTGCAACGGGGATTAGCAAGCCACCCTAGCAGACAGCCATGCTCGGAAACGAGCAACCAGACATTATTATTTTTCTTTTTTACCTACCTACCTACCTACCTACCTACGGTTGGTATAATGCTTGCTACATGCATGATTTAAAACACTATTGACTACTGTTAAAAATAATATTACGACTTAGATACATCGTTCCTACACACTAAAAAATTTGTATGGAAATACGGTAGTTGCGCATCGCTCTCTGGTGTCAATAATTGGTGTTCAACTGCAAATAAATACCATGATTATAAATACTGATTTTTTTTAAGGTTAATTTGCAGTTTAACACCCGCGCTCAGTTCGCATTAAAAATTTCCAAAATACTTACATTTATGTGTAATTGTACATGCTCCATTCAAATCTGGATTGATAAATTTGATAAAATCTACCGTTTTAGAGTTATCGACAGTAAAATTTGGGATTCAATCGCGTCGTTGGCGGCAGCCATTACTGGCGTTGTTTGCATACATTCGCTGCGCAAAGCTAAACGCGGAAGACTACGGAAAGCTAAGCGCGGAATAGATCTTTCTTGTGTAAATTTATCTCAATTAGTGCGCACGAGAACTATTTACGTAGACACGCTCAGTTTGCGCAATGATATCTGCACTGATAGCTATTTTGAAGCGAATGTAAGCAAACAACACCCGTAATGGCTGCCCGCGAGGCGGATGAATCCGAACTTTCATTGTCGTTAACTCCAAAACGGTAGATTTTATCAAATTTATCAAGTCAGTTTCGAATGAATCTTGTACAATTACACATAAATTTAAGTATTCGGGAAATTTTTATTGCGAACTGAGTGCGGGTGTTAAACTGCAAATTAACCTTTTTTAAGGTATGCAGAACTTTTTCTGGCCCAATATAATTTTTCTATTCTATTTCTTATTATTTGTCTATATTTATGAGATGAGGTATTATGTACATTATTTACATTATTCGGACTATTTTCCTCATCTTTGTCGCCATATTTATCACAACGTTTCGGCCGTTGTACGCTCCGGCCTTCTTCAGGTACAACGGCCGAAACGTTGTGATAAATATGCCGACAAAGATGAGGACAATAGTCCGAAAAATGTAAATAATGTTCTTATTATTTGTTTTTGTATCGCATAAAATAAGTTTTAAATTAGTTTATTCTTAATATCTAATATGCAATCTATTTTTTTTTAACAAAATCTTCACATTTTAAACCTAAATTTTCTTTTCCAGCTGCCTGCCTGCTTGTTCTCAATGAAGTCTACATAAAAAGCGTCGACCATGGAATTACCCACATCCCAGCTCGACACCCAAAGATGAGCGATTACAAGTACGGCTTCTCTTTTATTCTATCCTGGGTCAGCTTTGCGGTCTACTTCCTGGCTGGTTGCATCTTCCTATTCGCTTCACATAAGCGGAAGAGCGAAATGGCCGACGACGATGACGAACGTGCTGAACAAGATGAACCCATGAGATTAGGAAGAATATAATTGCCAACGACAGAAAGAAACAAAAGTACTCTGAATAATGTCCATATTTATCTTCCTTACCAACTTTTTTTAAATTTATCTTTTGTATGAAATCGGTTTCTTATATATAAAATGTCTGCAGTTTGCTAGGCATTTTTGGCATGGCAAGAAATGACACATGACTAATATTGTTAAAAAACGTGGTCTCAAATAGGGCGGAGGTCTACGAAATAACGAAAGTACACACTCATACAGACTATTCTTTATAAGTGTGTGGGCATAAAGAGCATATCAATATATGCGTTAATTGATGAATATATATATATATATTTGTGCGTACGCACCAGTAAGATTACCTACATATAAGCATACGCACGTACACACAGGTACATACAGATTTTTATTGGTATATATATATATATATATATATATATATATATATATATATATTAGATAGATAGATAATCTTATTGGCATGCATACACGCACACAGATATTGGTCAGTAGAAGTGTGTGTGTAAAATATATATTTCTATGAATAAAGACAAAAGGAATATTTTCCTTTATTAACGCGTTTCGTCATCTGATGGGCTTTATCAGGGCAAATGTAAGTTTTTATTTTATTTTGCAACATGTATTCATATACAGGAGCAAAAACATCGTTAAGCTTGCAAAACCTTTACATTTATGAGCGCTCAAAAATAAATTGATAAAATTTTATCAGAGGACGAAACGTGTTGGTAAAGAACTGTTTTCCTTTTCTCTTTATTTTTTGTTTTTTTTTATATTTTATTTATATCTGTACTATTTTTCACACACATACACACGTACACACACACACGCATATATATATATATATATATATATTGAATATTCATTGGTACATACATATTTGTATTCGTGTGTGACACGAATTTCTTTGATCAATGCTGCTTGAGCTGCTACTTATAATCGATACTGATCTCACCGATTAATAATAATGAAGGTAAGACTCATCCTCTTTTTGATATCATTCATCACTTACCTTAATTCATTATCTTCAAAGCCTACGTCCATTTTGAATCAACTTTGTGATATATCCATCATATCTGATGGAAGGACGAAGGAGCCAACTGATTTTTTTTTTAAATTAACGAAGATTTATTAATTTAATACGACTTTTTTTTTAAAATCATTTTTTAAAATAACAAATAAAAAAGTAAATCTTTTTTGCA